AACAGAGTGGTTGTTTGCCTTCGCTTTTTGTAAAAAATATACCAGGAAAACTGGTGTCCTCGCTCGTTGGCTGTTTGCTTTTGTTTTTAAAGATTTATGTACTGAAAATCGGGGAAAATTGCCGAGGAAAATATTAAGGCAATGGAAAAAATAGAAATTTCAGTATTTTAAATTCGAGCGAGCCTAGCTAAAATAATAAAACTAGTAGAACATCGTGTCGCTGTCTTTTCGAAAACTTTTTACCTTCTACGCCAACAGAAATAACCTACGAGATCTCCCTTAATCTCGCAAGAAGTTAACTGTGATTGTGTTGACTGTTTTATTTTTAGCTGAAAAATTAACAGATAAAAGCTATTTTTTAAGTCAACCAGTCTACATTTTTCCCTCGCGTGAAAAATTTTGCATACTAGAAAAACAAGCAACGGAAGTAATTTTGGTTGGCTGATTCGGCAAATGTCAATCAATCAAAAAAGTGGGCGGCAGACGTTTCGTAGAAGGTTTGTATCAGGCTCTCTTTTCGTTTCGCCATGCCCACCGGAATGTTATTTACAAAGCGAAACGAAAATAGAGCCTGATCTCAGGTTAATATTAAGCAGGATGCAAAATAGGAGGCCAGCAATAATAAATTTTTGTTATTCTTGACTTAAAAGACACAGCTGTTCTTATGTATAAGCCTGCGATGCAATGATAATATATTTTACTCGGGACGGTTTTGTGGAAGTAAATGTAATGAAAATTGTAAACGAAAATGTTGTTCAGCAAGGATTTTGTTTACAAATGTAACGCTTCCCTAAACGTGTCACACATTATCGGTGTTCTAAACTGTTCATTGTAAAATATAGCTTACTGTAAAACCCATTGTTGCTCATGGTGTAAAGGCTGATCGGCTGTCCCGACTCCGTTGGAAAGATATTGTTGACGTGCACAATTCTTGCTGCCTATCGCTGCATCGAAGAAGGTAATTTTGACTGTAAACTTTAAGCGTTGCCCGCTTTTGGAAGCGTCGGCAGACGGTGTTTCCTCTCTTCATCGGTTTCGTTTATAGTGTAATTGTAGTATTTTTGTCGCTGCCTCTGCTTCGCTGTAGTCTTCTTCGATCCGCTCGCCGATGAATTTTAATCAGCGTTCTCTAGAGGAGTTTGAATGGAAAATTTTCCTCGGCGAGGATTTGCAGCCACTTGCTGTGCTTGCAGTTCTGTGTCATTTGCATGGGAAATTGTTCGTGATTCACTGATGGTAAACGACCACCAGAAGTGAGTTACAGTGTACTGCGCAAGCGCGACTGGTAAATTTCGTCGCATTCTCGTCTCCAGAGCCCGTCGTTTCTTGGTCACGTGGTCTTAAAACGACTGGGCGTACCGTTCTAGTTATGTCCTGTATTGTGAACATGTCCTCTTACGTAATGTGATATGGAAGCCATTCAGGTCATGCGATCTATCGTGGTAGTCGCGGCACAGGACTGGAAAAGAATCTCCGTTGCAGTTTGGTCTTCGAGCAAAATTCGCAATTCTAGCGGGTCGCGGACGGTAGTAAAATTTGTCTTGCAAGGTCAAGTAAACATGGTGGCCGAAAGGCTGCGAAGGAGAATATATTTAATACTGTTTTGGCATTGCACAATAAGAACTTCGAAAAAAAAAGACCGGCTGTGCGTCGTTAAAGTTAAATTTCACGTTTTTACATGTTCTAAAAATATGAAGAGCGCATTGAGCAGTTTTTCTCCGGCTCTCATTAACGTATTGATCAGCTTAATTTTAGCCCATATTCAGTTAAGTTAGCTAAAACTTGTCGGAGGAGACAAGGCAGATCGTTCTGATGTTTTTACCATCTACGCCCCTATATAGATCATTATCAAATCTGCATCCTATGAATATTGTGAACTCGAATAAAACGCGAACGCTTACGAAAATATGCAGCCTATGACTGATCGTTTCCGTTTCTGATATGCAAATCTAGCGGTCATAGACCGATCTTCAACGCATAAGTTCGCTGTTTGTGTTGTATTCTTCATTAGCGCAGGAAAAAGTTAATGTGTTTTTTCTAATATGAGCGATGACAGCTGACTGTGAAACGGTTGTAAACTCACTAGTTTTTCTAGAGAGGTGTCTGTGACTTTCGGTGATTGATTGGTTGGGCACAGATTGAGTTATTGCAAAATGTGACTCCTTTCTTAAAATCCACAGTTTGCGATAACTGAAATCCTGGCCTGAGGAGCAAAGCCTGTATAAAGTCCACGATCTGGGAACCACATTTCGCGCTGTCGCAAAATACGGAATTTATTCAGGGGCACTCAACGAGCGTTTTCTGTAAAATATCTGCTCAGAGAAGCAAATATTGCCTAGAATTTCCTATCATTTGAGGACGACTAAAAATTTATAGATGATCGTTCCATTTATGTAAAATTTTCTACGCTTATCTAACAAATTCCCTATGATTTTCTGAAGTTGAATTTTTTCCATTTTACTGCCCAGATTAAGCTATTTTTCTTACAAAAAAGGATAACTAAATTTTCGGATTCGAAAATGTGATGGAGAAAGGAATCAGAAAAATTTTCACTTTCGTAATACGCTAAATTGCATCTAAACTTTTCGAGAAAATAATACTGAAGCGCTTGTAGATCAAAAAGTTCTCTGGGTAGCCTAAATAGTGTTTTCAATGTATTTAGGAGGACACAGTCGTTGGGTGCCCCTGGTTATTGGAAGGACATGGAATGACTTATCTCAAAATGTGACTCTTTAAGTTCGCCAGGGTTTGCGATGTTTTTTTGGCGCAAACCTTGGTTTTAAAACATAGAACACAGAATGGCTAACCTGCTTACTTTTATTCACAATGGTGGAAGTTACAGCCCTGATTTAAAAATAGTACTCATTTTTCTTGTTACGAAAGTCTTTCAAAAGGGTACAATGTTCAGATGAGTTTGTTTAAATCTCACATGAGATGCTGTGTCACACAATGGTCATGCAGTGACAATGTGGTGGCCTCAACAGTTTGTACAGACACCCTCTCCCAGGAAAAAAAATCTGCATATCAAATTAGAAGTTATGTAAAAATGACTATAAGTTTTAAAAGAGGAACTAAAGCATTTGATCTCATTGGCATATAAATTTCAGTTGGAGTGACAAGGCACCGATGTCTCCAAAGAGAATTCTGAATGTTGACTTATCTGATATTTAACTAAATGTACAGAATTTTTTCCATAGATTTTAGAAGATAAGAACCTGTTTCAAATTTTAGGCTTAAAAGGTTCTTATATAGAGGGGGCCTTAACTGGCTGATGTTCGGCCTAACAGGCTCTTAAAATCCAGGCTCTGAGTCATGGGGTTTTACTGTATGCCAAAAGTATCTGTGTCCTGCCTCAAGCGGGCCACAACGTATTCAGTGTTTGAGTATGAAACCATCAACCCCACTAGTATCAATATTTCTTTGCAGGTTAACATTTTAACTGTAATATTGAAATAGCCCACCTTCTAGAGGCTCTGATAAGGTAACATTCTGATAAGCAACCTCGTCTTGAAACAGCAACTGACGGAAGACTAAATGACAACAAACACAATTAACGATGGGCCGAATACCGAAACACAAAAATGCAAAAACGCGCAACTATTTGAAATTCAGTCTCGGGACATATGTACCCTCACACCCAAAAAAAGGCCTCTTTCTACAATTGTATGTATTGAAATTCAGCACAATAGCGAGTCTAAGACTACTCTAGCACTCATGCTGAATTTTAAAATACTAAATCCCTTAACGGACATCTCGCTACACCATAAATTGGACACTTAGAGCTGGTCCCTGCTTTGCTTTACTCCCTTTATATGAAGACAGCCATCTCTTTAAGACAGACCTTGTTCTCTGATCTCAGAGGTGTCTATCTTAGAGAGTTGACCACACAAAAAATTGAAAGCAGGCTAAACTGCACTCACATTTCTTGCAGAATTTTGATCCAAAAAAGTCTAACAGCGTCATCTTCCAAATCAAAAGCAAAACACATCTACATTGAATTCCCACAATATTATTCTTAGACACTTTCCGGGAGTCATGCAGTCGGCTGCCTAAATGACTGCACTAATCGCTACAGCTGTATTTGCTAATTTGAGGGCCCTCATATATACAGGAAACTCTTTAGCCTAAACTTTGAAACAGGTTCTCATTTTCTAAAACCAAGTGTCTATATATTATTTTCTAAAGGAAGACTTCAAAATCCCCATGAACAATGTTTCAGTTTTTTCTTGTTAAGGTCATTTTTTACATGCCCGGTTCGGTAAATAAGCTTAATGAGCAGTAACTTAACTTACAATTTACAGCAAAGTCAAAAAAGATCACAACTTCACGATCTATAAAAACAAGAGCTAGCCAAGCTTGAGCTTATCTGCACCATGACTCTAATCCTTATATAAAAAAGCTTTTTGAAAGAACTGCAAATAACACCTTACCTCAGAAGCTCGAAAATCTTTGCATCACTTCTTCGTCTTTACTGATCATTCTTCTTGCTACTGTCCTTCTTTGGGCACGAAGCTTGTGCTTTCATCCTTGTCCCAAGATTCCTAGCTCAAATGTTCTAGCTCTCCAACATATGAACACATGCGTTGACCGAGGAAAGTTTCGAACATACTTATTTATTTATTTATTTATTTATTTATTCAATCGCTTTCACCATGATTACAAAACTAAAAAAGACTAGGGGAAAAAATACATTTGAACAAGACACAAAAACGAAGGACGAAGGTGCGGGACACACAACAGAGCGAGGCTCCAAATTAAGTGTGCCCTTACGAAAAATACACCAAATACTAACTATGTAAACATTAAACGTTATAAAAAGTATAAAAATCCCATTTGTAAGAACGATAAGAATGAATCCCTCCCGCAGCCGATAAAAAGTCTTAGTAGCAGCAGTTACCAGCTAATAGAAGATTACGTGACCTACTGCATTTGCAGCAGATCGCCTTCCAGATGTTAACGTAAGTGACGTCATAGTTTGTACGAAAAGCAGCCGAATAGCGTTAATGTTGGAGTACGAGAGATTTAAACTGATTAAGAGAACTAAGAGTACGAGTAGATACAGGTAACGTATTCCAGAGTTTAGCAATACGATTAAAGTAACTGAACTGAAAGAGCGTTGTACGGCACTTGGGAACTAGTACGTCTTGATCAGAGCTATGGCGAGTGAGACGAGTGCCTTTAGGCTTGACATAATCAGCTATGGGTAAGGTGTAGTGGCCAGCGCGACACTTGAAATAGAAAATTAAGTCTTTCACTTCATGCCAGTATGTTAACGGTAGCAGATTGAGGCGAGAAAGGCGCTCATGGTAAGAAATATCCTCTTGCCAGTGCGTGTTTAAGATGAATTTGTTGCTCTGCGTTGAAGACTCTCTATTTTTGTTATACTACCAATCGTACTGGGAGCCCATACCTCGCTAGCATAGCCAATATATGATCTTACAAAACGAGAGATATAGTAATTTCCTATGGTCTGTAGTGAATGACATAACACCATTGCGGCGCAAAAATGCGAGCATTCTATCGGTCTTAGCTAAGATAGTGTTAATGTGAGTATCCCATGTGAGGTCCGGCGAGATAGTCACTCCGAGGTCTTTTACTTGAGTGACGTGTTTAAGTGAGTTGTTGTTCAACTTGTAATCGGGATATTAGCGTCAATAAAATCCAAAAGGGCGGATTTCCAATTAGACCAGCAGGCGTCAACACCCGAGTTACATGACACGCTATTACTGATAGCTGAGCTCTGGATAATCCGCAGTTTGAGGATCTCAAAGTCAGCTGATTTGAAATCGTAGGCATAGCGCGCAGGTTTCTTCACCCTACGAGGCCTGGCTACAAGGTCGAATTCAAGTAGGTCGTGTTCGGTCTCAAGGCCAGCCTGTATAGGAGTCATGGTCGCGATGTTCATCATGCGGTCAGGTGCATCAGTTATTATTAAGTTCAGAATATTCTCCTTGCGGCTCGGAAAAGGGTTCACTTGCAGTAGAGAATGGTCTTGTAGAGTTTCACAGAAAGCAGAATCAGCAGAGTTCGTAGAATTCGAAAAGCCGCAGCCTTCAATCCACTTGATGGCAGGATAGTTGAAGTCCCCAAGGATTAAGGAATGGCTCTTGAGGAGGCGAGCAGAGTTGTTGAGGTGAGATGTAAACTCCGTGACGGAGTGAAAATCATAGCTTGGTGTAGAGTCGGATGGTTTATAAATAGCACTGATTACTATTTTAGATCTAGAAGAACACGCGAGGTTTAATTCGACGCATAACATTTCAAGCCCTGTTTCTAAGTCAGATCTGCGACGGCAATCAAGATTGTCCTTAAACACGCCACTGCCTTCACGTTCAGCCCTATCACGTCTAAAGATCGTGTAGCCGATATCCAAAATCTCAGAGTCCAGGAAAAAGTCTTTGAGCCAAGTCTCAGTAACAGAAATGATGTCGTAGGCGTTACTGTATACAAGCTTTTGAAATGCATGGATCTGGCAGAACATTTCGCTGCATGGAGACTTGTGTTTACTTTTTAGGCTTTGTGCATTTAATGATAGGCATTTTAGGTAGACACGTGCCCGCCTCTAAGGAGAAGCTGCCGCGACGCGGACGAGTTTGGATAGTATAAACACGGAGCTCGTGTTTTCTTAGTCTTCCTGTGGTAAAAGCGAGTATCTTTCAGCGGTAGATGGAATAATTGTCTTGAGTAAACAGGAATGCCGCGATGAATTGAGCGGCTACCAACAATGCCCCGATGGACAATGATTCCAATCGACCAGAACAAGGATCACAATAGCTCATCAAATACGGAATTTGTCCCATTGTTCATATGCAATTCCCCGCGATAACCGCGACATACCGTTGGAAGAGACCAGGAAATAAATGTTGAATTTTCGGCGGAGACTGTGGAAATTCCAGCCACAGAACCCACTACAGGAGTTCTCCAGGATCTTAGCCATACTCGTCTGTGATGTAGACTGCCAGAAGACCAAAAGATAGGAGAAAAATAACAAAAACGGCAGAGCTAAAATAACTTGGACCAGCGCGAATTAGCGTAAAATTCTCCAAAAACCCATCGGGGAAAACGCTCCAAAACTGTTTCATACACAAGTCTTCCACAGGATCAGGAAAACGAAACGAACAAAAGTCATACTACAGCCCTCCCCTAGTTGAACTAGTTGGGAATTCACATGAAGAAGACACGATCACAACGCACTATGACTGGAAGAAATAAAACGCCATTCTATTGGTTGATAGGTGAGAGGACCAAACTGCAACACGTCACCACGAACATTGATAATAGAAAGACTGGATAGGAAACTTAAGTCACGTGGGCTGATTTCTCAGCGCCGAATGGTTGTTTCGTGCTCCAAGATGGCTTTGGTTGCTTGTAAAATCAGATAGGGATGTTTATGGGCGGGGTATCATGGTTTCAAAACTCCGTCATATCTCATTATCATTTTCATTTAAATAATTGTTTGTTTGTTTATATGTCACCTTCATCACATTTATTTATTTATTTTTTGACTTAGCCCATAATGAAAATAGTTAACTAAAGCAGTGCTGTATATACCCTACGAGCACAGGCTACATTTTCGCCGTATGAGCTGGCGTGCGAAAAGTAGCCTCTGCCGACAACCGTTCAAATCCGTCCAGAAATGTGGACGAATAAATAAAAAAAAACGGGTTTTTTTCTTGTTCTTGACCGGTTTAGAGCATTGCGTGGGTCTTGCGTCAGCGAATGAACGCTGACCATTATTTCGCCTTCATGCATCCCTTCGCGCCGAATTCTCGCATACGAACGCGGATCAATACAGCTCAAACGTAGCAACAGGAAAAGTTCAAAACAATTTCAAAAATCCCTGTTTATGTATTTAAAAGAGCGTCGTCAACAACTTGAATAAGCTCTGTATTTTAAAGCTGTCAGAAAACCGAAACAAGCTGCTGCCGGTGCTTCTTACGGGACCGTGTAAAGATCGTTAATTTATCATATTGTAGTTTCTGTTTGCCAGGAAAAGAAAATGGATACTGCGGTGATTTTTGTTGTGTCGCCTCTCCTTGCAAGGCTAAACGCACTGTTTTCGACACAGATGGGAACCGGATGTTCAAAAGAATCATCGATCAGTTTTCTTTTAGTGGAAAAAGCAGAAAAAAAGCTTTTAGCTGAACACTGATTCGCCCTCAAGGACTTCAACCTGGATGGCTTCTTCACGGTGGAACGATTTTCCTTTTCTGAAAAGAAACCAAAGCGGCAAAGTTTTTAAAGAATTTTCAGGTACAACTTGCACGTTAATGGTCAAGGAAGCTCCGTTTCTAAATGGAAATTTAAGTATTTATAGTTGTTTCATAGATGTTTTATACGACTTGAGACGGATTTTGACGTTGACATTTGATGTCTTCGGCAGCTTTTACTTGCGTGAAATGATCCACGATCCAGTTAGTATAGCCTGTGTACAGACGTCCCCTCCTCCCTCAGGAAAAATCGTCGGCGATTCACAGACGTCCCCTCTCCCGATTTTTTCCTGAGGGAGGAGGGGACGTCTGTACACAGGCTAAGTTAGTATTACGCGAATTGCTTTTAAGGATAAAATTATGTGTTTTCGAATAAAATTTTTCGATGAATAATTTTTCTGACTATTGTTTTGTCTATTTTTATTCATAACAGTTGTTTAAAACACAATCGTGAGACTGCAGCATCCAATTTATTTCAAGCATCACTTCTGCGTAGCGTTGTCGGCGAATTTCATTTTTCACTTTGAGCACAACTATTACTATAGGTAATATTAAAGCCGGAAAATAATTCGTTTTGGAAAGAAAACTGTTGGTACCTTTCTGAGGCATCGCTTGCAATTGTTATGATCTCTTATATTTGCACAGACATTATCGTATCGTATCGAAAGCAGATTTTTGAAATATGGTCAGGAAACGAGCAGCGGCCTTTCAAGTTTGAAACAACCAAGAAAGTTGGAAGTTCAGGACTTGTACGGTAAAAAATAACTATTTTTAAACATGGATTGATGGTAGTCGACTCAGGCACGTAGGGCCAGCTGTGTTACCACGGTTTGAAACGTGCGGAAAGAGAGTCAAAAAGAAGGTTTCATCCACGGTTAAATGTTATTTTTTTCTGCTTTATCACAACGCGCGCTTAATGTCGGGTTATTTAGTTAAGTTTTCTCCGAACCGAGTTGACTTCCCTTTTCGGCGGTGACTCTCTTTCCAGGTCTGTTCACTGTGCCCCTGATAAGAATGACAGACCTTCTGAGCAGACTAAAATTTTTAAATTGACATCATTCTATATATGTTCCTGTCTATATCAGTGAGCTGACTAAAACTTAATAACAGTTTAACATAGCTATTTATCAGTTTAGTTCTATTACCGTAGCTAAATGAGTATTTACAACTTACTTAATACTACGCAGTTTTATTAAAACATAACTAACGTATTTGTGGCTATTTTTCCCGCAGCTACATGTAGTTTACGCTCAATCAATTAATGTGTGGTTATTGAACTACTGGTGTGATTATTGAACTAACAAAAAAGAAAACTACACTAGAACTTAATAACAGTGGAACATAGCTATTTATCTATTTAGTTCTCGTACTATAGCTGAATGAGTATTTACCACTTACTTAATGCTATGCATTCTTATTAAATTATAACTAACGTATTTGTGGCTATTTTTCCCGCAGCTACATGTATAGTTTACGCTCAATGAACTAATGTCAGTGTGGTCATTGAACTACTGCTGCGGTTATTGATCTGGTGTGTACTTATTGAACTCCTGTGTGGTAATTGAACTAACAAAAAGGAAAACTGAACTGTTTCTGTTATCCATGCCACGAACATTCTATCGTCCCAAGTAGCTGCCTCTGGGTCTCCGAGGATGGCAACCGCTCCGATCGGCCGTGATGAAAATTTCGTGTATTTTGAATTCCTCGAAGGACAATTTTATAAAGAAAAGCCTCTCTTTGTCAACTTGGAGAAAACTAAGCATTCTTCTGAAGTTTCCTTTCCCATCCGTCTGTTTTAGTGGTGTATTTTTAATCTTGAAATCTTGAAATGCGAAACACAGGGTCTGGTTTGCCATCGCCATCGAGTACCATTTAGCTGTCTCACTGTTGAGGATTGTGTAGGCCTGGGCCTCACATTTTCGCTTGGACCACCTGACCCGAAACACAACACAACTGAATTCTGTTCAAAATAATTATACCGTCTATGTCAGAGTTTTACAGAAAGTCAAACCATACTTGAAAGTCACTGAAAAGTAGCCCCTTGAAGGTGAAATCCATGTTTTAAGACACTTAGTAAAATGCTTTCAGCGAAGTAACATTTACCTTACATCTAACTGATCTAAGTGATCTGAATGCTTTATTTTTCTTAGCTATGGAAGATTTGGTCGACGGTAATGTCGGCTTTTTTGTCTCTGTTCAGTAGCCTGTAATTTCTTCCCCTAACTGACTTTCGAATAAAAAGGCTACTCCCCTGCAATCTTCGGATGCGCGTTAAGTTTGCCTA